GTCTCTGCCTCCTGAGTGCTGGGAGTAAAGGTGTGTGCCACCACTGCCCAGCTAATGCACTGCACACTGGGCACTGCTGTGAGCTCCTCACCACGTCTGACTCATCTAAGCACCCCAAGGTCCAGAGGGAAGCTCCTCTGTTCTACAGGTGGCTTGGGAATGAGGACTTCTGATAAAACCAACACAGTTATCTACTGAATGAACAAACTTCCTGGATGGTGTAAAAGCCCCTGTCCTCCCTGGCATTTAACACCCACACAAGCTCCCCCAATTACATCAAAGCTCGGGTATCTTGACTGCATAGGCTGTTCTTTGATGTAACACCAGGTGACAGTTGAGGCAGGTGACTCCCTTGAAACCAGGTGGCATCCTGAGAACAAGGTTATATCTAGTACCAGTTTGACATAAGCATTCCAGGAATTGGGTGACAATCTAGAAGTCAGGAGACATTCAGGTACCAGCTGATATCCCAGGAAAGAGGTGATCTCTAGGTACCCAGGTAACATCCTAGGTAACATCCCAGATATCAGGTAACATTCCCAGGAACCAGGTAACATTTTAGAACCAGGTGACATTTCAAATATCATATAATATCCCTGAAAACCAAATATCCCTAGAAACAGGTGACAGTTACCATGTGACAACAGTCCAGGAAACAGCTGACATCCTCAGTGACATCCCAGTGGCCCTGGGTCTTACCTGCCGATGATGTAGATATTGGAGATGGCGTAGAAGTACTTGTAGAGGTTCTCCCGCTGCACGTAGGTGCCGCCCAGCGCAGGGCGGAGCAACCGCATGCGCAGGTCAGTGAAGGTGAAGAACTCCTTGAGGCCCTTGGCGCTCTCCAGCCTCGTGTACAGGTTGTCCATGTTGCGCAGGTCAGGGCCGGCAAAGATGGCAAAGCGGTCCCTTACCTCGAAGCGCACATGCTTCTCCTTCTTGGACCCTGCCCAGCGTGAGTACTCCTCCGTGCAGAGTACCCGGTTGGCACTAGAGGGTGACATGTCTCGGGCTCGGCGGGCAGACATGCCGAAGGCCTCCATGCAGTCCTCCGCATAGAACTGGTAGGGCTGCCAGGTGCGGCCATTGTCTAGGGACTTCTCGAGGACCATGACAGTGGGCCGGCCATACTCGAAAGTCATCACCACATCGTCCGTCAGCTCCACACTCTTGTTCCATGAGAGGGTGATGTTGGCCTCCAGTGGGCTGGGGTAGCGACTCCACGTGACACTTTGCCAGTAGGTGGCCAGTCCCTCATCTTCCCTGTCAAACATAAGCCGGGGTGGGTGGGCCAGGTCGGGGTTGGAGGCATCGCACTCGTTACTGCACAGGTAGGGGTTCTCCTGCAGAGGAAGAGAGACAGGAAGCAGGTGCTGGTCACTGGGAAGGGCCTGTGTATGTTTATCCAGTCCCCAGCCATTTGCTAGCCGTCACCAAGCTCCGGGTGC